AACCAATGCGGACCATAACGAGTGACCAAAAACCGTATACAATAATTCGCCGCTTTCTTTTTCTCGTCGGTACGATACGTCGCTGGATAGAAATGATTGAGAAGCAATAAATTTATTATTTGTTTTGCCTGGGTTACACTTAAATATACTTAATATTGGGAAAAACAATATTGCAATTTTGGGACAAAAGAGTTCTCGACGTGCTTAATATTGGGGAGGGTTAATACTTCAAAAAATTATTCTCCGATTTCCTTGATGATCGTTTCAATTTCTCCAGCAACGTACTGTCTGTAAAATGTTACGCGAATTAAACGAAATGAATCGCTCGCGAAGTCGAAGAGGAACTTATCTCCGTAAACACTCGCTCGGCTGCGAAACGAGCCTTCGAAAGGTACGGAGGATCATAATTAAACGGTGAACGATCGAACGACACAATAGCGTGGATAAACATAATTTTCCTTGACAAACTTGGCATTGATCGAAGAGAGAGAGAGAGAGAGAGAGAGAGAGAGAGAATCGACCGGGTTATAACGAGCTTCGTGTACCGACGTACGTGAAACATCGGCAAAGCAGGCACGGTAGGCATGAAATCTGAAACACAGCCGCGAATCGTGTCATGGATCGGCGCGCCTTTGATCCAGGAAAATTCAGGCCGCGGGTTAAACGCGTGATCGTGTGTATGTGTGTACGTGTGTGTGCGAGGGAGTGCACACGGGTGTCGTTAGCAGCGCCGGTGAAATTCGCTTTGCCGGAAATTAGGTAACGCAACCGCTATCTGGCCTGCTAAATACCCTTTGCCTCAGCGGGTCAAAGGCTTTCGCCCCCTTATGAGAATGCTCTCGACCCGTTTATCGATGGATCGATGAACGCGGATAATGACGTTTCGTTGGATTTTCCGGGGAATGGGATCATCGTTCTTGTTAAATGAGCTCGTTTCCCCATCATCGGGAGTATCAGTGTCACGGATTATGCGAGTGACACGATAGGGAGGCTGGCTTGGGAAAAGTCTAGGGATTTCCGCACGTTGGCGGGGAAATTTTTTAAATTATCACACGATACGCACTTGTAATAAACGAAATTTTTTTTACAAATATATTATTATTATTGTACGTACTTGTAATAAACGAAATTATTTACAAATATATTATTATTATTGTATAATTAATAAATAATAAAAGTACTATTAATTGTATAATTAATAAATAATAAAAGCACTATTAATTGTATAATCAATAAATAATAAAATTATCCGTGTAATTTTAGAACGTTGTAGAATTCCATTTTATGGCGGGATAAGTAGTGCATACCAATAATTGGAGTACGTGTACTAGAAGTCCATTGATTGTCCCCATTGCTAGCGATTTTTCCATATAATGAAATTTTCCATATAATCGAAGTTCAAATAGATTCAACGAACAACAAGATCTGGCGTAATATTGTAATTAAAATCGAGTGCAAACAAATGGTGTTCATGCAGAAGTTGAAATGGCATATAAAATTTAGCAAGAATTCATGTAATTTCACGAATCGACTAAATTCTAGTGCAAACAAATAGCATTCACATAATAGAAGTTCAGATTCAAATGGGTGGATTTAACGAGCAAGAATTCACGTAATATCGATCGAAATTTAATGCAAATGAACTGATATTCGCACGAATAAGAAGAAGTTCACAGTCGAATAAGTGGATTCAACAGGCAAGAATTCATGCAGTATCGATTCAATTAAAATTCACTGCGCGGTAAATGAAGTTTTGTAACTGAATTACAAATTTTGCTATTTTGATTCTTCGCCATTTTATACTTTATACTTTGTCATTTTTTATCTTATACTTTATGCTTTGCTATTTATAGTTTATACTTTGCTATTTTATACTTTATAGTTTGTACTTTGCTATTTTATACTTTATAGTTTATTTTTTATACTTTATACTCTATATTTTGCCATTTTATACTTTATACTTTGCCATTTTATACTTTACACTTTATACTTTGCCATTTTATACTTTATACTTTATACTTTGCCATTTTATATTTTATACTTTACCATTTTATACTTTATACTTTATATTTTGCCATTTTATACTTTATACCTTGCCATTTTATACTTTACACTTTATACTTTGCCATTTTATACTTTATACTTTGCCATTTTGTACTTTATATTTTATATTTTGTCATTTTATACTTTATACTTTGCCATTTTATACTTTACACTTTATACTTTGCCATTTTGTACTTTATATTTTATATTTTGTCATTTTATACTTTATACTTTGCCATTTTATACTTTATACTTTGCCATTTTATACTTTATATTTTGCCATTTTATACTTTATACTTTGCCATTTTATATTTAATACTTTATACTTTACCATTTTATACTTTCTACTGACAAAATTCCAAATTTGCTATTTTGAAGTTTTGCAACTTGAAAAAAAATTAGAAACTATGTCTGTCGTCAGTTACCTGTCTATCCACGACTGGATAGAGTCGGTGGCAATCGGAGCGAGGAATTAGTTTGGGACTCGCGAGATCGGCGGGAATATTTTCCGTAGGAGGAGGAGGAGGAAGAGGGAATCGTTAATGAAGGCACACCTGCGCGAACGGCTGCTCTATGCTGGCTGGCCGACTTCCAAAAAACCAGCCCGTATACTGTCGGAAATCACGTGACGGTCTGCCGTGTCACGTTGATTTTCGCTTTTGAACTTCAGATTTCATGACAGATTGCGACCAACCGCGTGACAGACGAGACACACAGTGGAATCTCTGTTATCGGAATCCTTCACTGTCCAAACATTCTGTTATCTAAACGTGTTTTTTTTCTCTCTCTCTCTCTCTCTCTTTTTTTCTGTCTGTCTTTACCCTTTTCTCGACATCGTCCCACGTTTTGTCCATCTCTTTGATGTTGGAAACGTGGGACGATGTGTGTGGCAACAGCGTGTTCTTCCGTGTGGCAAAGATAATTAATTTTAAAGCTGGAATAATAACAAGATTATTGGAAAATTGGGGGCGAATGAAATCGAGAGAGAGAGAGAGAATGAAGTGGAATAATGAAATTGAATTTCGTTGAAGATTCGATTATGGCTCGTGTGCGGATGATTCATTGATTTATTGTTTGTTGTTTCGGATTATTTCATTTAGATTTGACGTTAAATTGATTGAGATGTTAAACTTCGACTCTTTTTTTTTTTTTAACTTTTTTTATTTATCTTATGAATTTCTTCTTATGAATCTTTTTTTATTTATCTTATGATTTATCTTTTTTCATTGAGAATAATAATCGAACGCTGATATTGAAGACGATAAAACTCGAATCAGTAAAATATAATGTTGATAGAGTAAAAATTCAAACGAACAATTTTGACTAGAAAAATAAACAAACTTTCTGGTTTTACTCGCTGTTAATAATAAAGATACAATGTTAATTTACTATTAATACTTATTATATTAATTTATTAATATAATATTATATTATTATATTATTATATTATTAATATTAATAATATAATATTTACTAATATATTAATATTTATAGAATATATTAATTCTTGTAAACTTTCACTCTTTCAAAATACCTCTGAGATAATATAATAAATACTGAAATATAATATAATATAATATAGTATAATATAATATAATATAATATAATATAATAAATACTGATAGTATAATAATACTGTATGAAACGTTAAAGAAAAAAGGAACTGTAATTTTTAACAAAGATTTTGCACACATTGAATAATATATTTCTCCACGGGAATAAAACAATTGTCCGTGTTTTAATTGGCTTTTAATCTGAACGCGCTTTAACCAACAATGATCACAATCGATTTGCGCCGCCGTGGCAGGGAAATGGTATGTAAATGCGGCAGGTTTAATCGTGACTATCTCAATTAGTCCGATTAATAGAATCTAATGGGAAATATATTACTGGATCAGTTAGGTGTAATTCCACTTAACAGAAAATCGGAAAATCGAGCGTGACATTAAGCACCTTGCTTGAGATGCCGTTCCTTTCCATTACATTTCCATTTCATCTTGTCGCCGTACAATTTATTCTGTTCATTTGTTATTTATTAGAGAAAATGAAGAACTTTGACAATTGTGTAGCTAGCCTTAGCGATAGAATCTTCGGTTAATGAAACTGTATCAAATTTGAATTAACGATGTTTGTACGAATAAAACTTCGTTTAAGAAGAACTTTTCACATCGTTTAGTATAAGATTTAATAAAATTGTTTCACTTATTTTTATGTAAACTTTACTTATTACATAGCTCTGTTAATTGTGTTACACTACCATGTATTATACTACTATGATTTATATTAATTTTATGTTAAACGATATATGAAGTATAATTTTATATTGTACGTTTCTGCTAATCTCATTTTTACTAATTTTATCTTTAGTAATTTTCTTAGTTCATTCATCTATTATAAAGATTTCTGTTTAAATAAACATTGCCATAGTAATTACAAACAAATAGAACAAATCGTAACAAATAATTTGATTTCCTTCGAACAATGATATTAATCACTCAATCGAAGAATAAATAATAATTAACATAACTATAATTAACATAATTATAAATAATTTTAACTCAAGTTGAAATTAAACATAACTTCTCAACATAGAGAAGAAGAATCCTCAAATTTTCATGCTCTTTTCCCTATTTCTATCGAAACTAAATTACATACGTATGTCAAATTTTTATTTTCAACAGCAGAAACTACCATAATTTATCTGCATCATTATTCTAATCTCAAAGTGGTATCCGTTAATGCTTTTTTTTTTTTATAAAATAACGACTCGTTCAATAGATTAATAATAATAAATCTTCAAGAAATTTTTCATCTCGCGAAAATGAAAGACGAAAGAAAGAAAATTGACGGTGGTTACGTTCGCGGTATAAATAATATAATACCGAAGCGCATTTTCTTCTGACAGGTTGAAATTGGTCGTGGTTTCTTTCATTAAACCTGGAACTGCTCTGTTGCAGTGATGGCCGACTGCTAGAGGGAGATCAGATATTGGCGATAGATGGACAACCACTAGACTCGAACATCTCTCATGAACAGGCAATCTCAATCCTTCAGAAGGCACGTGGTCTGGTTGAGTTGGTCGTAGCAAGAAGCGCCCAAGGTAATTTGAATTCGATTTTTTATTCCTCGCGGTACGTCGATTTCATCCCTCGATCCAATTTTTTCTTCTTCTTCCTCTTCTTCTTTTTTTTTTTCATCGTTAAATCTACGTTTTGCGCGGTCTCATTTTCTTCTCCGTGAACGACGAAAGTTCTATCTGGGTGAAAAAATTGCGATCGAGTGGGATGAAATTTTACCGACGAAAAGAAGATTCTTTTTTTTTTTTCAACGTTAAACGTCATAAAAGTTTGTCACAAAGATCTTCTTGATAGTTTTTAGTATTTTAGGAGATAATATTCTTCCTCGAATGATAACGTTTCAAAATTAGAATTTGATTTTACTCGCAATTTATTATTAATTATATTTGTGATTTTACGTAAGATTTGTCTATAGACGTGTAATAAAAAGAAGTTTGTCATAAACATATTTTTCACGAGATAATATTTTTATAGGAAGTTCAATGAGTTCAGAACAAAAGATTATCTGATCTTATTACTCTGTTAAAATTTTTTTTTCCTTTTTTTTCTATTTTGAACCTCCAATTTCTAATTTTCGTAAAAAGATTATCTGTCGGGAAATAAAATTTTATTCTATATGATTGTAGAATAGAATTTTCCTACAGACTATATGCAAAAAAAAAAAAAAAAAAAAATAATTTTATACAAAACATTTCTCGATAAATTGTAGAGTAAAATTTTATCACACAGGCTACTGACTTTCACCGAAAAAAATCCCACTAGCGAGTTTACATTTAAATGGAGAAATAAAATTTAACGCCCAAACTTTTATTCTATAGGGAAAAATGGATTTTCCCATTCGAATTGCAAACAAATCGAGGAATAAAGTTTTTTCTTTTATGTAAATTTCAATTTCCTAGTGAATGAGACACATGTTTTTATTTCCATTTTCGTGTATCCGTGGAAAATTGGAGAAATGCGCGTAATTTGCAAAAATATCTGAAACACGAGACAAATACGTATAAAAATAAAAATACGCATAAATTAAAATTGTAAAGTCAGATTAATCAAGAATATAAAATATGTACAGAAAATACGTAGAATATTGTGAAAAAAAATGGAATATTTATTAGAACAATAGAACATTAACACAATAATATTTATTATAATAAAAATCGGATATTCATTAGAACAATGCATGACTTATGAAACGAATTTCTATTTAATTTTCATTTCTTTTATGCCAATAAAAATCCACTCGCAGTTCACTCGTGTATCGAATGCTAACTTCGCACTAATTAGAACGTTTCGCTATTCTAACTCTATTCGTACCTGAAAACATTCAGTATCCACATTATACACGTGAAAACGTTTGTGGCGTGAAACTGGCAGAAACATTTGCGTCTACCTTCGTTGTTTTACTGATTAACTTTATACTTGTTGAACGTGAATGACGTAAACAACGGCCGGGTAATTAAATTAGCCACTAAATTTCAAATGTATGTGATACACGGTGACCAAAGTATCAAAGCTGCCGTGGACCGAGCCGGAGTTTGTAGAAGTTTCGAGTAAATTCCACGACGGAGAAACGTCATGCGCACCGGGCGCTAAATTAGATTAACTGCGATGCACGAGCAGTCGGATTGCAAAATTTGCGTAAACAACAAAATGAAATGAAATGAAAATCGGGCAAAGAGGCTGGCCCGAATTTGTGATCCATGTTTCTCAGTCCAATTGAAAATATTTCACTTTTAACGATTTTTCGCGGGAAAATTCGCGCGACTTTAAGACTGATTTGTACGAACAACTTTACGCTCTTTATAAATATATGTTTTTTTTTTTTTTTTTTTTAATTTATGATTAACGTCGCATCTACTTTCTGGTCATTAGCGATGGCTAGGTACCGTTTCTTTCTTTTCAAGACGATTATATCACATAAGGATGCATATAAGGAATAAGTATCCTTGCATCGGGTGAAGCAAATTTCTAATTTTCTTCAGTTCTGCATGAAAATCAGCGTATCGTTATTTGTTATATAAAAAATTTTTTTTTAATTCTACTTTTGGTTGATTCCACAATTTTATTTTATTTTTTATCTTTGCCTTTTTTTTATTCTTTTTTTTTTTTTTTTTTCTAACCAGATCCCCTAACTAACAACGAACTATAAATAATAATCAATGACGTAAGTTATTTATCCATCTTTGATATTTATATATATCAATATTTATTTCATCAATATATAATATTCGTAATATTCAATATAAAATACAACACACGAAGCAGCTATTCATAATTTTCATAGAACAGCTCGTTGTAAGCATTCCAGATTATTAAAATCCGGATCATAAAAGAACTTGTACGTGATTCACTGATAATCAGATGAATTTCTACAAAGCTCTCAATTTAGCAGAGAGTCTGAACGCCTAAAGGTTAAAGCGAAATCGGTACAAGCTCGAGGCTTGTCCCTCGTGCGCGTTTAATTAATTAAGCTGTTTTATGCCATTTGTTTACCTTGCTCTCAGCTCCCAGTTTATACGGCGGACGTTTGAAATTTTCATTTCGTTCGAGGAATACTTCTCCACGACTTTCCCTCCTTTGTTCTAGTACCTTTTCACAAAAGTCCTCGCGACTTTCCGCATAGCTTCGCGTCTTCACAAACGGTCAGAGGGAATAAATAAATGTCGATTCCCGTTATTGCCAGTCGATTCACAACTACGACAACAAGAAACATGGAGAACTGAAAGAAACGATTCGATTTATCACCGAGATTTCTAACAATCTTTCTTCGAAATCTACAGTTGACGAATTAATTCACATTCTGACAATTAGGATGGGAAATTCTAATCTGACAATTAGAACGTTATTCTGTTGAATGTTTCTCTTGTTATTATTCTTCATAATATATGTAATTATAATATAAGTATTTATATTATAATTATATAATATTTATATTATTATTATATATATATTACATTATTATTATTATTCTTTGTTATTATTCTTCACGATATATGTAATTATATAATTATAATTATAATGTAATATATATAATATTTATATTACATTATTACTATTATTATTCTTTGTTATTATTCTTCATGATATATGTAATTATATAATTATAATTATAATATAAATATTTATATTATAATATATTATATATAATATTTATATTACATTATAATATATATTATAATATTTATATTATAATTTTTGTTCAACTTAAAAGTATGGGTCCAAAGTATCCTTTTCCCATAATATTTTTAGAATAATTCTCTTACAGGTGATATTTGTGGTATAACAGTCACGATTCACTACATATTATTGTTCTGTCCCAAATATTTCACCATAAGAAATAATCCAAGAAGATCCTGAAAATATCAAGAATGCATTTCAATTATTCTCTGTTTGAATATTTATAACGTAATTCTATAACTGCTACACGTATCTCTTTTATTCTCATACATTGCTAATTCACTTTAAAACAAATAAACGAATAACAATAATAATCTTCTAACATTCTTTACGTTGTACACTTTTTAACGAACGTTTTACATTGCAGTTTCTTTTATTTTCAATTTAATTCACCGATGTGTAATAATTGTCAAAAGAAGGTGTTAGTCAAACCTCTTTCATTTTTCATTTAGAATAGAAATTTAGAAAAAATCAACTGGTTGATTTCTCTCTTGGCTATAAATTTTTGAATCGCAGAATTAGGTTTTAACGAAGTATGAGTCAATCTATTTCTGCAAATAAAATTGAGATAATGCGATTAGCGATCTAAAACGAATCATATTTCAATCTCCTCTGCAATTAGAAGATTGAAATAAGTTCTTTGTTAACGGTGTCCATAATTTATTCTGCCAAGTCATTGTTCCACTATGAAATCGATAATTAAACGATCTGTTGCGAATAACTAGTTAAAATTTAAACTCTCGCGATTGAAGAAGAATTTTTTCTATGAAAAGTTCTCTAAAGTTTCGTTTAACATATCTCTGTTTGATACGATAAGAAGATTCTGTTTCCTCAATTTCTATTATTTTTCTCGATACGCCACAGTTCTCTTAATCAGTTATTAAAAATTTTATAGCTTAATAAATTGTCGCCGAGAAAATTTCGCAAACTTCTTTCCCAACTCGTTTTCTCTCCCTCTGTTTTTTTTTCTTCTTCGAGGAGAAGCTCCAGATCGACGTCGTATTCTCTTTTCTTATCATTTAACAATCTGTCGCGTAATTTCTCGCCAGGGGAAAAAATGACGAAACTTCTCAGACTTTCACATTTTTCCTCACGTCCTCCAGCGAGAAACACCTATTACCTGTTGCCGCAAAGATCCTACCAATCTTTTTATTAAAAAGTCCAACGCCTTTCTTTTTCACGATATTTTCCATGGAAATTGCGCATTTTTTTTTAAATTTAAAAATTAGAAATTAATTAAAATTAACTTTAAATTTAAATTAATTGTTTTTAAATTTAAAAATTTTGACAACTTCTTGCAAATTCAGGAACTATACGAGCTCAGAAGTCGAACTAATCAATTCCACTTTTCATTAATTTTTTAAGCTTTCCTATTAAGTAAACGACTTGACAAATTCGTTTGTTAATAAATAACAAAGAATTTGAATGAACAAGTGAATTGAACGAACAAGTGAATTGAACGAACAAATTCGCCCAAAAATTCGAACGAACGTTTAAGCAAACAGATTCATCCGAGAATCAATAGATAAATTCGAATGAACAAACTCGTCTGCGAGTCCGAGTGAATAAATGAACGGAGATTGTTCTTTTTTATTCGAGTGAATACGACGGACGAAAATGAAATGAATAGCAATACCCCCAAAGGGACACAGAGGTAGAACACTCTGTATTTTCTTGTATTATATTCCGTAAAATAGAGAGAAAACGGGTACGTCATAATATCGGTATCCTTGGCTATGGATTATCCTGCCAGTTGTGTGTCACGTTGTTACCGAGGAACACAATTTCTCAGAAATGCAAAAACGGAAGTGTAAATGTTGTCAAGTAGAGAGAGTACGTAGATTGTCACGTCGTCAATATTCTTGAGTATGGATTATCCTGCCACGTGTGTCGCGTCGAACGTTATTACCGAGACACGTAATTTCTCAGAAGCACGAAATTGTAAAATGTAAATACTGTTCGTAGCCTCGAGGCCTCGTAGAATATTTACGTTCCTCAGTCGTACAGTAGCTGTCGAAAGCGTAACGTTCCTGTGAACTACAGTCGATTAAGCGCGTATTAACATTTGTAAGAATGATTCGCGAGAAAAAAGAAATACTTGAAATACTTGAATCCAGCTGAAATACGCGCGATATCGAACATTAAACGAAGAACGTTGTTCCGTGACAAAAGAAAAAAAAAAAAAAAAAAATTGCCAGAAAACAAAAGTCGAAAAAGTGACAATGAATTTTTTAAAAGTTCCCGGATAAGATAGTTCTGGAAAGGGAAAAAAGTCGTGGAGGACTGCGTTGGATGAACGTGCTATAATATACATATGCCGTCGAATTCAACCATAATCCCGACGGTCAAAATTCAGAGACTTGGACTATCCGTCCGTTCTCCAGAATTTAACAACTTTCTGGAGAGAATTGAAAATTCTGCTTCTGCGTGGTGGAATCAGGATTAAAAAGGTCGTGTCTTTTTATTTTCTCGATCGTGCGGGAAGACGTTGGGAGCTCTTTGCCGACGGATGAGTTGTCCGGAGCATCGAGTTCGACAGCGGCCGCGGGAGCAGGTGCGTCCATCATCGGCGGCGTTGTCGGCGGGACAACGAACCAGGCCGGCTCCGACAAGGATCAATCGGTGTCCACGTCGTCCATCGTCACACCAGCGCCGACCCCCAAGTCCAGCCAGCCGGCGAGCACCGCTTCGGCGGCAACACCGACACCGCCGACCTCGACCCCGGTACCTGGAGGCCTCGTTGTCGAAAGGAGCCCCTCCGCCGTCAGCGACGCCTCCAAGAGTGGCTCTGACATGGTGGTGAGTCTCTCATTCACTTTTTCTCCCATCTCTTTCTTCTTTTTCTTTTTCTTTTTTTTTTTTTTTTAATTTATTTCACTTACTTTCGATCTCACGACTTGTCACACACAGTACTATTTAATTTAATAGTATTTGGTACTATTTTAAATTCAAACCTCTTGCGCTGAAACGACGTGCCACTCTTTTGTACCCAAAATTGCAACATTTTCACAGTTTCAAGTATATTTAAGTAGTTACAACCCTGGCGAAGCAAATAATAAACGTATTACTTCTTGATAATTTCTATCCAGTGATATCGTACCGGCGAGTTCGAGAGGGAAGGAAAGCGACGAATTTATCGCGGTACGGCTCGGTCGCTCGTTACGGTCCGCAATCAGTTGCCCGGCGCAAGGTGGTCAATATCGTTCAACTTGTTACATATAATTAATTCATTATTCCTTGCGTATCTTCAACTGCTTTATATTCTATGCCTTATATTATTTGTAAATACTATACTTTGTATTATATTTACACTTATTTCATTCTCCTTTCCTTTTTACCATCGTTCGCGCAATTCGTTCCAATTTTTACCTTTATTATATCGTCCCTTCGCTTCTCTCTTTCTTTCATTCTGAAACTCGTCGTGATTTTCGTTTATTTCGCTATGTCTCGCTGTGTCTATTTACTCGACGTAAGGCCAGAGGCGCGGGTAATTGTTTTATTGGGAAATTTATAAACGACGAGCGGAATTAGGACGGGGGATAATTTATTTTCGTTTTCACGTTGGCAGATAGTTGGTACTTTCAGTTAACTGCGCGCGTTACGCCAGAGTTCAACCTTGTTTGCAATCTCGCTGTAAATGTCGAAGTTACAGACACAAGTTGACTGCGGTAATAAGCTGAAATCTGTAGCGGATGACGACGAGAGCTGGCGATTTTAGCAGCTATCACGAGCTGTTGAATAATTGCGCTCCCACTGCCTCGTATTTCGTTTTCTATTTCTGCGGCTGTTAACTGGCCCTCTTTTCCCCTCTGTATCGACGAATCGGGTTTATCGCGGCCGCGGTATCAGTTAATCCTCGCGCTATCATAAGCCTCGCCAAGATTTAAGTCGATCGTCGAAGCTCGCGAGCAACTGGCAATCGGTTTAAACGGGACGAGATCTATAATGGACGGAAACGTTGTTAAGTCCCTGTGCGCGCTTCTAAATTTCTAGAAATTTCAACGTGCACGCAACGGCGATCGTCCGCTATTAAAGTCATCCGCCTCGGACACTTCCGTTTCGCGTAGTTTGAATTCGTGCAATTGTTCTACTAAGTTCGACGAGAGGGGATTATTTTGACTTTAGAAAGGATTATTTAAAGGATTGTCAAGCTTAAAACTTGGGCGGGTTTCAAGTTTCTTCTTCTTTTTTTTCTTTCTTAATAATAATCTTTTCAATTGGACGTTTATCAATAGAGCGCGAGTTGTTGTATTTTCGTATTAAAAGTTGTTACGAATGTTCTACATTCGGATATTTGTCCATTCTATGCATTTTTGCATCCTCAAGCGAAATTAACGCCGGAATTATCAAAATGGTCCAGTTTATAATTTTTATTTGTAAGAAATTTTTATAGATTTAAGACGGTGTATTTTTCAAAGATTTAAATCATTTCTCGCGAAATATATAAATAAAAGCTTGTGTAATTTATTGAAAATGAAGCTTCTCTATTTTTTCAATATCTCGGATGGGAATTTTATGCGTTGGTAATCTTTATCAAATGAGAGTACAAGGTACACGAAAAGATTTGGGTTAATAAATTAATAAATCTGGTAAATATATCAAATTTCTACCAAAAATTAACAGTTACTATTTCCGGGTGTTAAAATAACAATAAATTATCATTTCTCAACGCGAATTCTTTCTCTTAAATCGAAAGAACATTTTTTAAAAATTGTTCAGCAGTATCTATGGTACTATAATCTGATCGACACGATGATGTAGCCAGTTCATTAAACCTTGAACCGATAATGTACAATTTTTGTTTGTAACGCAGTTTATTTTTGCACCGAGATAACGGGTGTATCGATGGAATTAATAGATAGCTCGAAGATAATTAATCACAGGTTCAATGTTCCGTAGTCGATGGAAAAGATCAATTTCGACATTGATGATGACAATACCAACGATAGTGCCAAAGATAATGCCAAAGTAGGAAATAAATCACAGCTCGATGGGACGAAGAAGAAATAGAAATCGGTTGAATAATAAGACTGACATGTCGAGATAGATTTTGATAAGAAATTTGTAAAATTTTCACGCGTGTTTTTTTAAATGTTTAAGTGAAATTTTCGTAGCAGTGTGCAATTTGGTCTTGAAGTGAGTAATTATTGAATAAAATTATTGAGCGATTATTTGACTAAAAAGAAGAAAACCCTTTCACTTGAAAACTGACGTCGAGTAATTGCTCGATATCGGGAAGATACTTATTGTTAGCGCTTGAATCGAATTATCCTAAGATTACGAGGGACAAAGAAGATTAATTGTAATTGTAACGTAAGCGTCCGAAATGATTTTCCATGAAATATGTGTATTATAGTCCTGAAAACTAGAACGAGTTAATTAAATTATATGTATATAGAATTTATTATTGATTTGAATATAAGAGAATTTATTTATTTTTTTTTTTTTGTAAAATTAAGTAGTCTCTTTTATTTTAACTCGTCGTTTGTTATTTAGTATTTTATCGTTGTCTGAAATGTATAATATTATTTAATATTATTCAATGCTAATTTAAATACTACTTATTTTCTGTACATATGTACATACGTATGATCATTCATTTCATTTCTATTTCATCAAAGAAAATAGTTGACACTTCAGTTGCACTTAAGAAATACATATTACGTATTAGAACTATTACTATAAATAATTATACAATTTTATATCTTAACCCTATATTTATATTTTATTTTAATTTAATTTATATTTTATCTTAACCCTATAACAATCGAATTTGTCATTTTTGTTTTTCAACAAGTGCTTGAAAGACACGGATGTTCATCATCAAAATTAATTTCCATTCATAGGGCAGAAACATAATTTAAAATAATAAATCTGTTCATTTCAATTGTCATTCAAATTATAACGTAGAATATTTTGATACGATTGCTCCAATGTTAGGGGATATTTTCACTCATTTATTTGTATTAAATATTTTTGTTGTCCAAATCGAGCGACGCTCGCCGTAATAGTGTTAAGAAAATTCTTCGATGATTTAAGAATCGGACTGACAAGACTGACGAGAGACGCGAGGATGCGTGTAATTCCGAGCGGAGAAGAAAAGTGGCGCGAAGTTTTAACGACGTGCAAAGTTCTCGCCATTCTCGCTGAGAAGGCAACAGCCATTATCACGAGAAAATTAGAATGGATCGATATTTCTTTCTACACGCGACAGAATTCATTTGTTACGATATATCGATGAATTCATGTAAATTACGCCGAGAATTGCGACCCGGTCGTTACATCGATTCTCGTTTACCGGAAGCGGTAGACCGTCTGCACGTAAGCGGGGTGTTCCAGTTAATTGCGTCATTTGAGCTGTTTTTAGAAAAAAGGAGAGAGAGAGAGAGAGAGAGAGAGAGAGAGAGAGAGAGAGAGAGAGAGAGAGAGGAATGCAAAATCACTTCTTCCCCTTTCGTTGTTAATTTTATATAATCGATATTTTTTTTTTATGTATAATTTTAAGATTTTAAAAGTCGAGCAGACTTAATTATTAAACTTTTGCTTTTTATCTTAAAATTTATCTTATTTTATCTGCAAATTTGTCTTAATTCAACATCGAAGTCTCAATCATTTTTTTTTTTTATATTTTTTTATAAGATCTATAAAAAAAAAAATAAAACGCTTGTTATCCCAAAGAATAATTTATTCTATTAATTTTCAATTAAAAGATCGAAAGAAAGGATTAGAAAGATCAAATTATTTTCTTTAATTAAAGATTTTTTTTACAATTAAAATTTGTCAGACTTAATAATTCTCCCAGTCAAATATTAATTTGAATTTTATATTAAATACAAAAATTAATTGATGTAAAATTCTATAGGGTCTTATCGTCCCATAAAAAAATTCTTTTTTCTATTTGAAATACTATTCTAAAACGAATAGTATTGAAAATCTTTGGAAATTTAGATATTTTCTTATTTTCACCAAACGTCCAATAAATTAATGCTCATTTTATTAAACATATTTTCGATTTGACAATGCATCAAGGACAATGGTACCTCGTAGACTATCTACAAAAATTAATTGATGTAAAATTCTATAGGGTTTTATCGTCCCATAAAAAAATTCTTTTTTCTATTTGAAATACTATTCTAAACCAAATAGTATTGAAAATCTTTGGAAATTTGGATATTTTCTTATTTTCATCAAACGTCCAATAAATTAATGCTCATTTTATTAAACATAACATATAATGTTAAATTTTCGATTTGACAATGCATCAAGGACAATGGTACCTCATAAACTATCTACAAAAATTAATTGATGTAAAATTCTATAGGGTCTTGTCGTCTCATAAAAAAATTCTTTTTTCTATTTGAAATACTATTCAAAAACGAATAGTATTGAAAATCTTTGGAAATTTGGATATATTCTTATTTTCGCCAAACGTCCAATAAATTAACGCTCATTTTATTAAACATAACATATAATGTTAAATTTTCGATTTGACAATGCATCAAGGACAATGGTACCTCATAGACTATCTACAAAAATTAATTGATGTAAAATTCTATAGGGTCTTGTCGTCCCATAAAAAAATTCTTTTTTCTATTTGAAATACTATTCTAAAACGAATAGTATTGAAAATCTTTGGAAATTTGGATATTTTCTTATTTTCACCAAACGTCCATTTAAATTAACGCTCATTTTATTAAACAACGTATAATGTTAAATTTTTGATTTGACAATGCATCAAGGACAATGGTACCTCGTAGACTATCTACTAGTGGGATGTATAACGATCGAAAGCAGATGTG